CAGCCTAAAATGTATAGGAACTGGGGCCTTGGGCTCTCTTTCTCTTCTGGCTCGCGCTTTTTTTGTCCTCCTTGTGGATCCTAGCAGCCTCGGCTCAGCTGCCCCATGCTGGGCAAGGGGAGGTGGCTGAGATACCTAGGCTAACCTGAATAAACCACCTTTATGCCTTAGCACTGACTTCAGACTTGATGATTATCTGGGGATTTCAAAAATCCGGCACAACACTCTCGAGAAGTCTGATCTGTTTTTCTAATAGGTAAATAATTTTTTTTAAAGATTTACTTTATTTTTATTGGAAAGTCAGATATACAGAGAGGAGGAGAGACAGATAGGAAGATCTTCCATCTGATGATTCACTCCCCAAGTAGCCACAACAGCCAGAGTTGAGTCAATCCAAAGTCAGGAGCCTGGAGCTTTTTCCAGGTCTCGCACGCGGGTGCAGGGTCCCAAGTCCTTGGGCCATCTTGGACTGTCTTCTCAGGCCACAATCAGGGAGCCGAAAAAGAAGTGAAGTAGGTGGGACACAAACCAGTGCCCATATGGGATCCTGGGCATGCAAGGCAAGGACTTTAGCCACTAGAAGATTCTTTATTTCTATTTCTTTTTCATTCTCTCTGTTACTCTACTTTCCAATAAATAAATCTCCCAATAAATGAGTAGCAGAAGGAATCTGTTTAAAGAGCTTTAAATTTTCTAAATATTGGTAGTCTAAATACAAAGTATAAAGCCAAATATTTAGACTTCTTTGGGGCATAAGAAGTTCTCATTGTTGAATAGCCAACTTTTGAGCATTTTCAGAACTAGAACATTCCAGAGAGAGAACATTCAAACATTATGTTGATTCTAGTATATTTTATCAGTGCACTATCAAACCAATGTTCTACTGCCACCTACAGTAGAGAAACAGAATTATGTCTTATAATTTAGACCCAAAAGTATGACCTAACAAAGCAAATGTTATCAGTCTCTTCTATTTTTTTTGAAGATTTCTTTAATTTTTATTCAAAGGTCAGATATACAAAGAGCAGAAGAGACAGAGAGGAAGATCTTCCATCTGTTGATACACTCCCCAAGCCAGGAGCCAGGAGCTTCCTCCAGTTTCTCACGAGGGTGCAGGGTCCCACAGCCTGGGGCTGTCCTCTACTGCTTTCCCAGGACAGAAGCAAGAGCTGTACGGGAGGTGGCGCAGCCGGGCTGCGAACCGGCGCCCATATGGGATCCCGGCGTGTGCAAGACGAGGACTAAGCCGCTCGGCTACTGCACCAGGCCCATAAGTCTCTTCTATTTATGTCCCCGGTCTAAGCATTTTAAGACGATACATTCTGGAGCCTGGCGGCGTGGCCTAGCGGCTAAAGTCCACGCCTTGAACACGCCAGGATCCAATATGGGTGCTGGTTCTAATCCCAGCAGCTCCACTTACCATCCAGCTCCCTGCTTGTGGCCTGGGAAGGCAGTCAAGGACGGCCCAAAGCTTTGGGACCCTGCACCCACATGGGAGACCTGGAAGAAGTTCCTGGATCCTGGCTTTGGATCGGCATAGCATCGGCTGTTGCACTCACTTGGGGAGTGAATCATCGGACGGAAAATCTTCCTCTCTGTCTCTCCTCCTCTCTGTATATCTGATTTTCCAATAAATAAATACATCTTTAAAAAAAAAAAAGATGATACATTCTGGTTTTTGTTTTTTGTTTGATTTTGATTTTGTTTTTAATTGAAAGATAGAATGACAGAAAGAAAAAAATTTCCGTCCACTGATTCAATCCCCAAATGGCTGCAACAGCTGAAGTTAAGGAGATCCAAAGTCAGGAGTCAGGAGCTTCTTCTAGGTCTCCTATACCCCAGTACAGGGTTCCAAGGCTTTGGCCATCCTCTGCTACTTTCCCAGGCCACAAGCTGGGAGCTGGATGGAAGTGGAACAGCCCAGACAGGAACCGGTGCCCATATTGGATCCTGGCACTTGCAAAGTGAGGATTAGTCACTAGGCCATCATGCCAGGCCCAAGAACATACATTTTGTAACTAATACATTTAATTCAATTGAAACTTACTAAAATCCTAGTATATATATATAATATGTAAGAGTAAAGATATTTCCTTTTTAAGATTTATTTATTTGTGCCAGACCCAAAGATAATTCTTAAATTGACTCTAAAGCACCCAAGAAGTTAGACCAAAATCTGCTGTGTCCCAGAGCGTACACCGTCAGCAGTGCCGGAGAAGCCCAGAAGCTTGGTGCAGATCCTAGGAGACGGCAGCGAGGATTCAGGCAATTTGTTTCCACTGTGCTCGTGGGAGACACTGTACCAAGCTCCTGGTCCTGGCCTCTGCTGAGCATCGTGGACATATGGAGTGAATCTGTGGAGAGCAGTTTGCTCATTCATTCTTTTTTTTTTTTTAAAGATTTATTTTTATTATTTTTTATTGGAAAGGCGGATATACAGAGAGGAGAGACAGAGAGGAAGATCTTCCATCCGATGATTCACTCCCCAAATGAGCGCAACGGCTGATACTATGCCAATCCGAAGCCAGGAGCCTCTTCCGGGTTTCCCACATGGGTGCAGGTTCCCAAAGCTCTGGGCCGTCCTCGACTGCTTTCCCGGGCCACAGGCAGGGAGCTGGAAGGGAAGCAGGGCTGCCGGGATTAGAACCGGCGCCCATATGGGATCCCGGGCGTGCAAGGCGAGGACTTAACCACTTGCGCCACCGCGCCGGGCCCTGCTCATTCATTCTTGCTCTCTGCTCTTCTCTCTTTCTGCTTCTTGAATTTTAAAAAGATAAATAAAATTTTTTTTCAAAATTAGGTTAATCCACTGAATTCAAGGTTTTCAATTCTGTGACTATTTCAATGACATAGATTTATTTCAAAGCTTCCCTAAGTGGTATACTTATTGCCCAAGTTTTTTTTTTTTAAAAGATTTATTTTTATTATTTTTTCATTGGAAAGGCGGATATACAGAGAGGAGAGACAGAGAGGAAGATCTTCCGTCCGATGGTTCACTCCCCAAGTGAGCGCAACGGGCCGATACTATGCCTATCCGAAGCCAGGAGCCTCTTCCGGGTCTCCCACGTGGGTGCAGGGTCCAAAAGCTTTGGGCCGTCCTCGACTGCCTTCCCAGGCCACAGGCAGGGAGCTGGAAGGGAAGCGGGGCTGCCGGGATTAGAACCGGCGCCCATATGGGATCCCGGGCATGCAAGGTGAGGACCTTTAACCACTTGCACCACCGCGCCGGGCCCTGCCCAAGTTTTTATAGGTTACCTATATACAGGACAGTGGGATGCCAATGCTTACAATGGCAGCATATATAAAGTATTAAATTTTAAAAGATGTAAAAATCTTCTAAACATTACACACCCAATTCAGTGATTTCACTGCTCAAAAACAAAAACCAGAGCAAGTGAATGGCCAACTTCACATATGCACAACCATATAAGATGTTTGTGATTAACAGGCACAAGTAAACAGGGTCATGGTCCTAGCCAAGTAGGACAGAGAGTTCCATTCTAGGTGGGAAAGAGAGACCAGCCTGAGCATCAGGAAGCAGTCCTTAACACCTGGGTACACATACAGGGAAGTTAAAGGTGGCACTTAAACCTGAAACAAACTGTCAGGCAGCTGGCAACAAGCACGCAGCAACACCACGAACAAGGATGCCACTGTGTGCCCTGCCAAGGGCTGGTCACCCATCCTTTCTCTGCCATCCCTCTTTCCTTTCTTTTTTCTTACAGACCAGAACACCTACAGATGGCTAAGACGTATGAATCCTACTGTCATCCACATATAAACATGCAGGTCTAAGGCCAGCTGCTCCACCTGATTCAACTCCCTTCTAATACTCTAGGAAAGCAACAGGGGACGGCCCAAGTGCTTGGATCCCCGCAATCACGTGACAGATCCCAAAGAAGCACCTGGCTTCAGGCTCCAGAGTGAGTCCATCTAGGGAGTAAACCAACAGAGAGAAGGTTTTAGAACATTTCTTGCCTCTCTGAAACTCTGCCTTTCAAATAAATAAATAAATCTTACACACACACACACACACACACACACACACACGAAACAAACAGCTGTCATCCTGGGTCCGCATTTTCAGTCCTGAATCAAAGGTTTTCTCCCTTGGTTCATCACACCAATCATCTGGAGACAGGTTATTCTGTTGTCTACACACAATTTCAAGGAAATCATACAGCTTTACAACCCAGAACCACTCAGAAAACTTACATATCCTGGACATTATTCAATAGTCATTCAAAAGAAACTAAGAAGACAGTTTTCAAGCAATCTCTTCTATACGTACCCCAAGATTTTTATCTCAAAACAACCAAAATAGGATAGAGCCGGAGAGGAGTCCCCAATGTTTGAGATTCTAAAACATTGCCACTCACTACTTGCTCTTATTCCCCTACAGTTAGCAAACATCTCAAAAATCCAGATACAAGGTTAGCATTCTGGTGCAGCAAGTTAAGCTGCCACCTATAATGCTGGCATCCCATGTGGACACCAGTTCATGTCCCAGTGGCTCCACTCCCAATCCAGTTCCCTGCTAATGGTCTGGGGAAAGCAGCAAGACGTGGCATGTCACCTGTTACGTTTGGTGGGTCTAAACCCCAACCGGATACACATGCTCTCTTAACCACACAACGGTCTGTTTGACTTGAGTTCTGGCTAACCCAAATCCCTTACCCTGGCGGACACCGGCTCCCTTCAACATTCCCAACCACCAACACCCAAGAAAACTAGCCATCTATTACTCTTCAAGTCCAGAGCTCAAAGAACACCGAGGAAACTCATAACTGCTGACCCAGAAGTTTTGGGGGGGAGGGGGAAAACCCTCACTGGGAGGTGTCAGTGAGCCTGATAGAAAAGAAGCGGAGAAACAGCAAGCACCCACGGAGTGGCAGTGTAAGTCGGCAAGACTGTTTGTGGGGCCCTGGGCGAGGGCGAGAACGAGGGCGCTGGGGAAAGGTCTGGGGTCCGCGGCGGAGGCTAACCAGGAAGCGCGGTACCTTAAGAATGCCCCTCATCTTCGCCAGAAAGGGGCGAAACTCCTCCGGAGGCACCTCCGGATAGAGCTGGCTCCTCAGCAGCTCCTCCGTGATGCCCGGGTGCCCGTGGAAAGCGTCCTGGGCAATGCCAACCAGCAGCCCGTTCAGAGACTTGCAGCTCTCAAGCTCACCCGCCATGGTCCTCCAAAGCCCCGCCCCACAACAGCTGACTGCGGTCCCCGAAGAACGGCGGCCGAGAAAGACCGAAAGAGCTGCGCAAAGACTTGCAGGAACCGCGACCGCGAGCTCCTCTAGAGGTCAGTGTTGGGAATTCCCAGTTTAGCATCCCCAAAACTCATTTTCTTAGGATGTCAAATCGGAAATATCCGTTCATTGAATCCACGGATAAAGTTCTCAGCACTCCAAAGCCTGCTGAAAAGAGAGATGCTTTGGTGAGAATCACTTCGTTTTCTATAGGGATTGCCAGCCCATTGACATAATAGAATCTACGCTCAGATCTAATCTCTGAATACCTACTTGTAGACTGTGGTCCAAGAAAATGTAATGTCTCCTGATGACAAACTGCCAGTGCTTGGGTTATTAACTGCTTTTTGACATAGATATGCCTTGGTTTTTCAGATAAGTCAGTGGCTATGACCATGTTCCAAAAGCTCCTGGCTCCTGGCTTCAGGTTGGCTCAGCACTTGCAGCTGAGGCTAAGGCAAGATATTAGCAACCTCATTAATATATGTCCAAAATAAACAAATACATGGAAGCAGAAAGAAAAGTTATAGGAAGAGGTCCAGAATCATGGCAAGAAGATTAAGTCAAAATTTGCAACACTGCTATCCCATATTAGAATGCCACTTGGAGTCCCAGTTATGCTACCTTTGATCCAACTTCCTGCTAATGCATGTAAGAAGAGGTCCCTAGGCCCGGCATGATAGCGTAAGGGTTAAAGTCCGCGCCTTGAACACGCCAGGATCCCATATGGATGCTGGTTCTAATCCCAGCAACCCTGCTTCCCATCCAGCTCCCTCTTGTGGCCTGGGAAAGCAGTTGAGGACGGCCCAAAGCTTTGGGACCCTGCACCTGCATGGGAGACCCAGAAGAGGCTCCTGGCTTCGGATCGGCACAGCACCAGCCATTGCAGCCACTTGGGGAGTGAACCATCGGATGGAAGATCTTCCTCTCTGTCTCTCCTCCTCTCTGTATATCTACCTTCCCCAAAAAAATAAATAAATCTTTAAAATAAAAAAGAAGTCCCTGCACCCACATGGTCCCTGCACCCACTTCAGTTTGGGTCACCCCTGGCTGTTGTAGCCATTGGGGGAGTGAATCAGTACATGAACGATTGATATCTATATTTTTTAAATGCATTTAAAATATTAATTTCCTGGGCCCGGCGCGGTGGCGCAGTGGTTAAGGTCCTCGCCTTGCACGCCCAGGATCCCATATGGGTGCCGGTTCTATCCTGGCAGCCCCGCTTCCCTTCCAGCTCCCTGCTTGTGGCCCAGGAAAGCAGTCGAGGACAGCCCAAGGCCTTGGGAACCTGCACCCGCGTGGGAGACCTGGAAGAGGCTCCTGGCTTCAGATCGGCACAGCATCGGCCGTTGTGCTCACTTGGGGAGTGAATCATCGGACGGAAGATCTTCCTCTCTGTCTCTCCTCTCTGTATATCCGCCTTTCCAATAAAAAAATAAATAAATCTTAAAAACATAAATCTTAAAGAAAAACAAAATATTAATTTCCTAAGAGACAACTTCAGAGATATTTTTCTTGGCTCAAAACAAAGCAAGCTAGAGACAAATTGTACACCATGTTAAGTGTGCCTGCAGAAGTTGCAGGGAATGGTTGATTAGAGGAAAAAAGTAATACAAGGTCAAAGGAATAGGGGAGCAGTATTAAAAATGTAATTTCCGGGCCCAGTGCAATGGCCTAGTGGCTAAAGTCCTTACCTTGAACACACCAGGATCCCATATGTGTGCCAGTTCTAATCCTGGCAGCAAAACTTCCCATCCAGCTCCCTGCTTGTGCCCTGGGAAAGCAGTTGAGGACTGCCCAAAGCCTTGGGAGCCTGCACCTGCGTGGGAGACCCGGAAGAGGATCTGGGCTCCTGGTTTCAGATTGGCACAGTTCAAGCTATTGTGGCTACTTGGGAAGTGAATCACCGGACGGAAGATCTTCCTCTCTGTCTCTCCTCCTCTCTGTATATCTGGCTTTGCAATAAAAGTAAATAAATTTCTAAAAAAAAAAAAAAGAAAAGAAAGAAAGAAACACAAAAAAGTGGCAAAATGTAAATATTTTTTAATAATAAGTTTAAAGAGAGAGAGAGGGAAAAAAAAAAAAGAGCAGGTAGGGCCAGTGTTGTGGTACAGTGGATTAAACCATAGCCTACAATGCCAGCATCCTATATGGGTGCTGGGTCATGTCCCAGATGCTCCACTTCCAACCCAGTTACCTGCTAATGAACCTGGGAAAAGTAATGAAGGCTTGCCCAAATGCCTGGGCCCCTGCCAACCACATGGGACATACAAAAGGAGCTCCTGGCTCCTTGCTCCCAAATAAAGATCCTGGCCTAGCTTGGCCATTGCAGCCATTTGGGAAGTGAAACAACAAATTAAACATCTCTCTCTTTCTCTTCCACTCTCTCTATGTAACTCTGTCTTTCAAATAAATAAGTAAATCTAAAAAGACAGAAGTAATTGTGAAAAAGTAACTAAACCATGTGCAGAGACCAAATGATGATTTTTTTTAACAAGGTCTATCTGTACAGAACTCTCTCAGACTCAACTTTCTGTCCTTGTTACTTTGCTTCAGGTAGACAAAGGACATCTTCCATACAAGGGTTTCATCACCTACTTTAAGGAAGAGGAGAGGATCAGTGCTCCCTCATTGTGCAAGATCATTTTTAGGTGTTTTTAGCTCAATTTCTTTTTGCCAAAGTAGCACATCTTGGGGTGCATCTCACCAGACATAGCACTGCCTCCCTGAGCCTACAGCAAGCTCCGTAACACCTGGGTGACCAATAAATTCACTCTTGTGCCACTAGAGGCTGCTATTGCCAGTGCTACCAACCTGTTTCATATTAAAAGAATTAACCGAGGCAAGGCAATCACAAGAAAAAGACCCCGAGACTTTGCACAAAGCAAAAAGTATAAATACCTAAATAGAAGCTCTCCTTACAACATTTTCTTTTCATGTAGCTGAATAGCTTTCCACTACGAAACGGTATTAAACAACTGGTCACAGACAGGAAATAAGTATTTTCATATGATATTCTACTTCTGAAAATATTAGGATACAGAAATAGCATGCAAATAAATACCAGGGTCCTAAAGTACCGCAGCACTCCACACCTCCATTTCTATTCTTCTGTTTGCAATTCTGCTTTTACTACCATTCCCTCCACCATCAACCCAATACACAACAGATTTAACTCAGAGATTTGTACCAGCCATTTTGCTAGGCTCCAGGGGATACGTAAATGATAGCTTCTGCCCTAAAATCTTAAATTCTGGTGAGAGAAAAATATATGTATGCAAATTACTAAATACAAATTATTAAAATAATAATTTAATTTAAAGTTGTCATTATTTAGTATCAAGAAGTAGCTATCACATTGGTGATGGGAGAATGAAGGTATTAACTCAACTTGAGTAGGTCAAGGAGAGGGGCTTAATGATGAAGTTGACCAAGCTGTGGGTGAAACAGCATCTTCCCGTGTAAGCAAGTATATATAATATAAATAATGTTAACTACTTCTATTAAATGTAAAGCCAGAGCCTTGATTCCTCAGCAATGGACTGCTGTCTTCTCATTCACCAAAGCCCTAAGGTACACATCGCCTTGTTCTTTGTCTCAATTGCAAAACAGGACAGGACGACCTGGTCTAATCTTAATAGCTGTGGACCTTAAGGACCACCATGGCAGAGAAGGAATGTATTGCTGTCCATCCAGTGACAAGCCTGGGCACCTGACACCACAAATTTGCAGTTCCTTTGTGATTCTGCCAAATCAGCTCTCCTTTTCTTGTTGCCTTTTAACCACTACTAATCCTTCCCTTCCCCCTCCCCTGCTAAAAAACACTCTCATTTAGCAGGGTGGCAGTTCTTCAGACCTAGAGGTCTACTCCCCTTTCATCCATCAACAGATTAAATGTTCTGTTTCTTCACCTCAATACCTTGTTCTTGTTCTTGTAGTTTGGTGCTAAAAACAGGGACCAAGCTTTCAGTATCACCCATACTATCCTATTTGGAGACACTAAACAGAATGTTGTGTTGAGGCATCAGTAAGCAGCTGAGTGGAATAAATCCAGGAGCCTAGAGTAATAAAGCTGAAGAGACAGAATGTAGGTCATAGAGATGGAGAGCTTATATGTAACGCCAACTTTTTTTCACATGATCTCTGAGTTTATTTCATACTTCTCTACGTTTAATTTATGAAGAGTAAAATTACTGTGATAGATATAACCTGGCAGCTGTGATCCTTAAGGGAGCTAATGCCTGTGGGTATTGTAATGCCAGCTTTTAAACTTGGTCATTTTAGGGTATGTAGAAAAGAGAGTTTATTCCCCACCCACGTTAGGGTCTTGGTTAGCATTCTAACAAAAGAAAAGCACACAAGTGCATTTTTCAAAGATGTATTCATTTCAAAGGCATAGCAACATAGAGGAAGATATCCACAAAGAAAAAGACTTCTTCCATCTGCTGGCTGACTTCCCAAATGACAACAACAGCTGAGGCAGGACCAGGCTAAGCCAAAAGCCACCCTGATCTCCCACATGGGAGCAGGTACCCAAGTACTTAAGTTATCTTCTACTGCATTCCTACGCTCATTAGCATGGAGTTGCTTTGGAAGCAGAGCAGCCAGGAGCCGAACAAGTACTCTCAAATGGGATGCTTGCTACATTGCAAGTGGAGGCTTAACCTGCGGGGCCACAATACCATCTCCCACACAAATTTATCTAACATAAGTTTTATTTGACACAAAAGAGATGTCATAGGGAAATGAAGACACAAAGAAGCAGTTTGAATCTCATAATTACAAGTTCAGTTGGACAAAATATAGTAAATGATGAAAATAAGGCGACTTGGGCTAGGGCAATTCATCAAGGAGAAGTAACTTGAGAAATAAGAGTGTGGCAAAATTTGCTTTACAGGTTTCTCTTGTCCTCAATTCTGGCACTCCTTCAATAAAAAATGTCCTCCTTCTTTTA